AACGGCGTGGCTCCTCGGCCAGCTCCTGCGTCCAAATAGCTTCCAGCAGCTCGAGCCACCTAGGCCAGGGCACAGGAAGCCCTACACCCTAAAACCCTAAACCCTAAACTCTAAACCCTCAACCCTAAACCCTATACCCTGCACCCTAAACGCAAAACCCTAAACCCTAAAGCCCTAAAACCCTAAACCCTCAACCCTAAACCCTATAATACCCTACACCCCAAGCCCAAAACCCTGAACCCTAAAACCCTAAACCCTAAACCCTAAACCCTCAACCCTAAACCCTAAACCCTATACCCTACACCCCAAGCCCAAACAAATCAAAGATTGACTGAAGATATCATCCAGCTGCACAGCCTGCTGATCTGCTTCGATGGTCCCCCAGGGCTTGGACAGCAATAGCAAAAGAAGGGAGGATCTGAAAGCCCCACCGACTCGAAGCCACGTACAGAGCGTCGGCATGACCTCCCCACTGCACCTGGGGTCAGGGCACCCCCTAAATCCTAAAGCCCTTAAACCCTAAACAGCCCTAAATCCTAAACCCTCAACCCTGGCCCTAAACCCTAGTCCTAACCCTAAAAACGTTCCTGGCCCGAAGCCCCCCAAAACCCTGAGCCCTCACGCCTGAACCCTGAGCCCTACATCTTATCATAAGGGATGAGAACCCCTCCCAAAAGTGGAAAGGGTTTAGGGTTTAGGGTATTTAGGGTTTAGGGTTTTCGAACCAGGCGTCGCGTGGACTGCGTGCCAGAGCTCGTCGCTGGCAGACGCCATGTCCCGGACCCAGGCCTCTGCCAGCGAGATCTTCTTTCTGGCGCCCAGAAGATCCATGACCTGATTTCGGGTTTCGGGTTTCGGGTTTAGGCTTTAGCCCTAATACCTTATACCACAGCATTAACGGCTGTCTTCGGGTTTTATGTCCACCTAAACACCCTCACACTCACACTCACAACAGGACAACTACATGTTGAGGGACGATTCAATCCCCCCTCCCCCCGGCCTTAATAGGTCTAATAGGGACTCTCTGGGGGTGGTTTACTTAGCTTTGGAGTAGACCCTGGAAAAAAGCATATACTTTTTTGGTATAAGTAGCTATATAAGGAACCCAGAACCCAAAAAAGTATTAAAGTATAGTACTCCAAAGCCCAGTTTATTATTGAGACCCAGGCACTCGCCCTCGTGCTTCCAACTGCACCTGGCGTGCATGCAGAGCTTCCTCTTGACGTCTGCGCTCTGCAGCCTCTTGCTCGGCGTCACGGCGTGCGTTTGCACGCCGAGCATTGGCCACCACCTGTAAGGTTTAGGGTTTAGGGTTTAGGGTTTAGGGTTTAGGGTTTAGGGTTTAGGGTTTAGGGTTTAGGGTTTAGGGTTTAGGGTTTAGGGTTTAAGGTTTAGGGTTTAGGGTACACTGTAGCCCTAAACTAAACCCTAAACCCTTTTACTAAAATTTCCCTTATAGGAACCTGCTCCTTCTCTTCCATCTGCTGCTTCTGCTTGGAGAGGTCGCTCGAGAGTCTCAGAATTTCCCGCTGGAGCTGCTCTGTCTGCTGTTTTGTCTGCTGCTGTTGTTGCTGCAGTTGTTGTTGGATCCGATCGTTCTGCTGCTGTTGTTGCTGCAGCTGTTCCTGCTGTTGCTCCTGCTGCATTTGCCGTACCCTTGCTTCTGCTTGCTCCGTGTCTCTCTTGCGCTGCTCGGCCTGCTCGTTCTGCTCGGCTGCCTCCAAAAAAAGTGCCTGGTGGGGTGAGTGCTATGGCTATGACTATTAAGAAGGCTTAAGCCCTAAATGGTTTAGGGTTTACGGTTTAGGGTTTAAGGGTTTCAGGGTTTAGGGTTTAGGGTTTAGGGTTTAAGCGAAACCCTAAACCCATAAACCCTAAACCCATAAACCCTAAACCCTAAATTTAAAGCCTAAGCCAAAGATTTCAGGCCCAGCGGCCTGAGCAGCTTCGCGCTCCTGGACCGCTTGCGCCTCAGCTGAAGCGAACCCTACACCCCCCTAAACCCCTAAACCCTTTAAACCCTAAACCCTATTGTTAAAAAAAGTTCCCACATCAAATGCCAAGGCACAAGGTCGCGGTGGCCCGCACTGCGGAGCTGTGACCCAGGCCGCGATTTCTGGTGCTCTTTGCGCTTCGAGGGCTTGCGCTTGTGAGGCATGGGGTGAAACTTAACCCAGTAGAGGGTCCCTACAATCCGGGCTTCATGAGTTGGGCCTAAACCCTAAACCCTATGGGTCTAAGATACCTACACCTCTATAAACCCAACCCTAAACTCAAGACTCTGAAGCCCCGCGAAGCAAAGTACAGCCTAAACTCTATACCCTAATTTGGGCTGCCTGCAAGCGAATAGACTTAGAAGGGTTAAGTTGAGGGTTTAGGGTAGGGTTTAGGGTTGAGGGTTTAGGGTTGGGGGTTTAGGGTTTAGGGTTAATTTAGGTTTAGGGTTTAGGGTAGTCAGGGAATGCAACAGTCCCGCGTGTGCCACGAGCTTGGGCCCTGTTTCTGCAATGTCTGAGTCAAGCCTGAGTGAAGCCTGCATATAAGCCCATATAACGTCAAGATTCCTTCCCCCCTAATACCAAAATTACCCCCCTAATTCTGAAATTCGCCCGGGCCGGAACATATTTATAATTAGGCGGGCGCCAAACCCTGAAACCGGAAACCCAACCCAGGGAGGAAGTCTGCAGTTTGGGGCTTGGGGTTTTCGAGCACGGGAAGTTTAAGGTTTTTGGTTTAGGGGCCGGGCTTGCGCCTGTGAGGCATTGGGTGAAAATGTGACCCTGAAACCCTAGACCCTAACCCCGAACGCCTCTAAACCCTGAAGGCCAAAGACCCTGAACCCCTAATTAAACGAAGGGGCGTGCAACCCGTACATAACCCTGTGACCCTGAAACCCTAGACCCTAAACCCCAAACCCAAACCGCTCCTTCGGAGGTCGCGCTGGCGCGGGCTGATCGGATCTGACAGAGTCTAGGGTTTAGGGTTTTTGGCTTATAGGGTTTCAAGAAAATAGTATAGGGCTTGTGTCCGGAGTTTTGTCGGGTTTTGTCGGGCTTGGGGTCTTAGGGTCTCAGGCATTGAGGGGAGGTCTAAACCCTAAACCCTACACCCAAAACCCTGAACCCTCAACCCTCAACCCTAAAACCCTAACCCCTAAACCCTAAACCCCTAAACCCTAAACCCTGAACCCTAAACCCTAAAGCCTAAACCCTAAACCCTAAAGCCTAAACCCTAAACCCCTAAACCCCTAAACCCCTAAACCCCTAAACCCTACACTCTAAACCCTGAACCCTGAACCCTGAACCCTAAACCCTTAACCCTTAACCCTTAACTCTAAACCCTAAACCCGTTCAGAGTTTCATTAAATTAAGGGTTTAGGGCCAGGGTTTAGGGACCCAAACCCCGACACCCTAAACCCTAACCCGAAACCCTAAACTCCCTCGGCAGTGCCGCAGCTACATCGTGGCGGAGCTCTTCGCCCCCAGCGCAGGATGGCGCGGTTAAGGTCCGCTTGTGGGGGTCTTGGGCTGTCACGGTCTGTTAGGAGAAGCCCTTAACAACTTGGACCAGGAGTATTATTCCCTTTATTTAGAGTTTAGGCTCCCTTATAACTCAACCAAAATTAAATAGGTACCCTTTTTATACCTAGGATACTCCTGGGTCTAGACAACCACAAGTCCTAAGATTTGTGGCGGGGGGTGGGGGGTGGGGGGGGGGGGGGGCGGGGGAAAAAAGGATGTTTCCAGCAATGGCATGCTCTAAGCTTGAGTGACCGCCTGCCAAACATACCCCGAAACATACCCTGAATCATAGCCTTAGAGTTAAGGTTTCGGGCTTAGTTTTTATTTTTTAAAGTTCCCTATGCCCTAAACCCCAACCCTCACAATTCTACTAGTTCCAGCTATAGGGTGTGCGTTTGGTGGCCTGATCTGGGGCACAGGATTTAGGGTTTAGAGTTTAGGGTTTACTTCGAGGCGCACGGCAGTTACTAAGTACTTAGGGCACTTAGCACAGTTATAAGTGCAGTTATAAGTGTGCTAAGTGGACATTATAAGCGTACCCTAACACTTGTCTAAGTGGTGCCGCCACTTAGCTAAGTACCCTTAGGGGTTAAGGGGTTAAGGGTTTAGGGCTTAGGGTTTGGCTTATATTCGGCTTGGGGCTATTGGGCTACTGCTTGGGGGGGGTTAGGGCTAAGACCCTAGAACCCCTGGAAAACCTAAACCCCTAGGGAGGGCAGCGACCTGAACGGTCACCACACCCCCCGGCAGCTGCCTGATCGGCAACCACGCGCCCTAAACCCTATAAACCCCACAGCCCTAAACCCTGGTGCCTCGTGGTGCCTGAAGTTGGCAGCGGCCGCCGAACATGACAGGAAGGGTTTAGGGTTGTTTTAAGGTTTATGGTTCGGTTTAGGGTTTTGGGGTTGAGGTTTTAGGGTTTTGGGTTTTCAGGGCCTGGGCCTGTAAGGTTCGGTTCAGGGTTTAGGACTTAGGGCTCGGGGGGGTAGGGTGTAGGGCCTGTAGGGATCTATAGAGCCTTTTTTTGAGCCAGCCCACCCCTTTCAGAAAAAAAGTTTAAAAGTTGCCACTTAAGAGCTGAGCTAAACCCTAAACCCTAAACCCCTATAAGCTCTTGGGGATGGCTCTCTGAGAGGGTGCGGGACTTTGGGTTTTCGGGCCTGGCCTAGTGAAGGTTTAGAGTTTAGGGTTTCGGGTTTAGGGTTTAGGGTTTGGGGTTTGGGGTTTGAGGTTTGGGGTTTGGGGTTTGTGGTTTGGGGTTTGGGGGTTTGGGGTCTAGGGTTTCGGGATTAGGGTTTTCCGGATTCGGGATTTTGGGGCCTTACTCCCCCTGTGCAAATGGCGGTTTAGGGTTTAGGGTTTAGGGTGTGCGGTTTAGGGTTTAGGATTTAGGGCTTAGGGTTTTAGGGTTTAGGGTTTAGGGTGTCGGGTCCTAACCCTAGAACCCCAAAAACCCAAAGCTCGGTCTGGGTCCGAGGCGGGGTTCGGGACGCCCAGGCAATTGAGCACGGCGCGCCGCGACTCCTCCCACACATGGGGGGAGGGGGTCAGGGTTTAGGGTTTAGGGTTTAGGGTAAGGGTTTAGGGTTTAGGGTTTAGGGTTTAGGGTTTTAGGGTTTAGGGTTTAGGGTTTAGGGTTTAGCGTTTAGGGTTTAGGGTTTAGCATTTAGGGTTTAGGGTTTAGGGTTTAGGGTTTAGGGTGTTCAAAGTTGGGTCCTGTTGTCGGTTGAGGTTGATTGTGAAGATCCTTGGGCAGGCGCATGCTTGGTTCGATGCGGGGCGATAGCTGGCCCACAGGGTCCACAAAAGCAAGCTCAAGCCTGTCAGGCAAGCCTTACATCTCTAAAAGTGCTAAACCCTAAACCCTAAATTTTGAATCCCTAACCTCGAAAGCCGAAAGCAAAGCCCTACATACCTAAAAAGCCGAAGGGTCTAAAGGCCTAACAACCCAACACCTCCTAAGGTCGTCGCGGGCTCCGCAAAGCCCCAAACACCCGAGGCTTGCGTTACCTAGTACTTAGGGGTTCAGGCCCTAAACCATAAACCCTAAACCCTAAACCCTAAACCCAGGGGAAGTGTTCCTTATCTATTGGTCATCTACGTACCCTTTGGGCCAGGTGCACCCCGCACCCTAAACCCTAAAAACCCGAACCCTAACCCCCCTAAAACCCTAACCATATCCCCCTAAACACTAACCCCGCCCAAACCCTAAACCCTAAACCAAAAAAGCAAACCTAAACCCCAAAACCCTAAACCCCAAACCCTAAACCCCAAACCCTAAACCCCAAACCCTAAACCCTAAACCCCAAACCCTAAACCCTAAACCCCAAACCCCGAAACCCCCACCGAAAGCCTCCAACGCACCAAGGAGTCGCTGGCGCTCGAGAAGGAGATCGCCCTCCCCGACAGCAGCTTAGGGCTGAGGGTTTAGGGTTTAGGGTTTAGGGTTTAGGTTTTAGGGTTTAGGGATTAGGGTTTAGGGCTTAGGGGTCAAGGGCTGAAGTTTTGGGGTTTAGGGCTTAGGGCTTACGGTTTAAGGGTTCAGGATGTAGGGCTTTAGGGTTTAGGGCTTAGGGTCTAGGCTTTGGGGGTTCAGGGTTTAGGGTTTAGAGCTTCGGGTTTAAGATTTAGGGCTAACGGTTTAGGGTTCAGAGGTGGGGGTGCAGGGTTAAGGGTTTAGAACTTGGGGCTTAGGGCTTCGGGTTTAGAGCTTAGGGTTTAGGACTTAGGGGTTGAGGGTTTAGAATTTGGGGTATTGAGTCTAGGGTTTGAGGGCTTAGGGTTTAGCATAGGGTTTAGGGTTTAGAGCTTGGGGCTTACTGTTTACGCTTCGGGTCTAGGGTTTAGGATTTAGAGGTTAAGGTTTGGGTTTAGGGCTTCTAGGGTTCAGGGTTCAGAGCTTTGGGTTTAGGGTTTAGGGCTTAAGGTTTAGGGCTTAGGGTTTGGAGCTTAGGTTTTTGAGGTTTAGGGATGCTTAGGGTTTGGGGTTTAAGGCTTAGGGTTTCGGGTTTCGGGCTGAGGGTTTAGGGTCTAGGATTTAGGGCTTAGGGCGTCATACTTCTTGACTACGTGATTTGGGTTGGGCGGGGCGGGGGGGGAGGGATGTGTTTGTGCTTTTGTTTGCGAGGGGTTTAGCGGGGAAAGACAGGGCAGTTACTCAGATTCCACGCACCCCTAACTCGCCTAAGCCCTAAACCCTGAACCGTAAACCCTAAACCCTAAGCCCTAAACCCTACGCCCTAAACCCTAAACCAAACCCTCAAGCGACCACAACTTGATGTTCGTCTAGAGCGAAACCTGTTCTCGAAACTTCCGCTGAACCCTGAAATATTTCAATAAACCCTCAACCCCAAGCTCTAAGCAAGAAAATCCATAAGCCCTAAAACCCTAAACCCTGAATGTTTTTTCCAGAAACCCTAAACCCTAAATCAGGCAACTCACAGTGACAAGTCTTAGGAGTTTAGGGACGTGTCTTGCAAAGGGCTTTAGGGTGTACGGTTTAGGGCAAGTATAGGGTGTAGGGAACCCTAAACCCTAAACCCTAAACCCTAAACCCTAAACCCTAAACCCTAAACCCTAAACCCTAAACCCCTGAACCCCTAAGCCCAAAAGCCCATAAGCCCCTAAACCCTAAGGCCTCAGCCCTAACCCCTAAACACGCGAAAGTCGTAGGTAGAGGGGTCGAGGGTGGTCCACTGATAGTGTTTCTTTAATGGGGATAAGTAGATAAACCCCTATTCAATACGGTTGCGGGTACCTAGTCCCAGAACAGTGATGATGTTCTTTGCCTGTGGATTCTGAGAATACAAACTCATTGTCCTTAGGGCTTTAGGCTATATGGACATTTCGGTTTGTTTTGTATCTAGGGTTCAGTGATCAAAAGGATCGGGGCCTGCTTCGTCGTGAGCTCCTCGACGCGCATGGCCAAGGCTTCGCGCCTTGCACCAAGCTCGAGTGACCCCTCAGAAAGCCTACATCCCTAAACCCTAAACCCTGAACCCTGAACCCTGAACCCTAAACCCCAAACCCTAAACCCTAAACCCATAACGGATGTAGGCAACTTGGTAGCACTCCGCTGGTTTCTCTGCCGAGCTTGGGGCACGCAACGGTGGGATTCGCTGGTGGCGGCCTGGCGAAATCCCGAAGCCCCAACTAGGCCCTATAGATAGGAGCCAGATGAACCTATACTACTGGCAGATCTGGTATATCACCCTGAACCCTAATTAAACCCTAAACCCTAAACCCTAAAGCCATCTGCAGACCCGTAACCCTAAGCCCCCACCAGACCAACTCTGGACTCAACCCGAGATTCTCGCATAGGCCGAATCCCAAACCCTGAAGCTGTTTAAAACCTAACTCTTGGGATGTTCGCTCTTATACTAACTGTCCTTAATAGGGATTATAGTCTATTCCCTGCTAAGGGACTGTCAGTATAGGGGGGGGGGGGGGGGAACATCCCAACCTAAATCCCGTTAAAAAAGGGAAACTGACGCAATACTTACATGCATTCCTTGTAGAGCAGAGCCTGAACTAACCTCCTAAACCCTACGAGGTTGCGCTCGCCCACCTGCCATCTCCCTGCCACGCCAGGAAGTACCTGATTTCGTCACTTCGCAACACACAGATTACAATTCTGGAGCTAGCTACAAAATACAATCAATTGGAAACATGGTGAACCTACCTAAGGCTCGTCAGAGGTCGAATTTCGGACCCGCCCATTCCCCCCCCTATATACGGTATACGTACCCTAAACCCTAAACCCTCTCAGTGAGTCATAAATTGCTTGACCATGACTGTTCGATGGCCTCACAACCAGCTATGGACCTCTCACATGCCTGAATGCACTGACCTCAAACCTCGGAGTCCAAATGAACCCTGTTCAACGCGTAAAACGGCAGGCATCCCTGTCTTTTCAGGAAATGATGCGGGTTTCCTCTAGGCAAGCCCTATACTAGAGGCAGCTCACGTCTGGGACATTGGCCGTTCCCAGAGCGGTACTGCGGGAAGCACCACGCAACCCTCCAAAACCCAAAACCCAAAACCCGAAACCCTAAACCCTAAACCCTAAACCCTAAACCCCCAAACTAACCCTAAGCCCAAAAAGACCCTCTGCCTCAAAGGAAGGCCGGCGGGAGGACGACGCCTGCATGAACACGAACGAGCTCTGCGCCACATCGCTTGGCCCAAAGACCCAGGGATGATTTGCTTATCTTGGAGGTTCGTGGGTAGATATTTAGGTGGGGTTTGGGGTTTAGGGTTTAGGGTTTAGGGTTTAGGGTTTCGGGCTTAGGGTCTAGGGTTTAGGGTTTACGTGGGGTGATAAGTAAGGTAACTTTATTGTAGCTGGTTAAAAGCGTATTTAGGGCAATTGCGCAGAACCCTACTCCGAACTACCCATTAGGGTTTAGGGTTTAGCGCTTAGGGTTTCTAGGATGTTATTTTAAGGTTCGGAGTTTCGATAGGGTTTAGGTTTTAGGGTTTGTAGGGCTTGGGGGGTTAGGGTTTATCGGGTTTAGGGTTTAGGGCCGAGTTTAGGGTGAATTATGGTGAATTCCAACAACAACCCTAAACTTGAAACCCTAAAACCCTAAACCCTAAACCCTAAACCCTAAACCCTAAACCTCCCAAAACTATCTCAAACATATCCTGGGCCTGCTGCTCCTCTTCTCGCTGCCGGTGCTGTTGCACCTCGTGAATCATGGGATTAGAGTTTAGGGTTCAGGGTTTAGACCCCTAAGCTTGTGCGCTTGAGCTTGGTGTCCCTTTTGGAAGATCCTGAGCTTGGTGTCCCTTTTGGAAGATCCTCTATGGGAACATGAGGGCCGTATTCGGAGAATCTTAAGGGGAACCTTTAGGGGTATAACCTTAGGGGTGCGCGTCTTGGTCCCTTGAGTGAATCGGCTTGTATCCGAAGCAAGGGAACAAGGGTACCTACCCCACAAAGGCCAACAGTACCAGTTTTTGCACTTCTTGTTCTAAGTCCACCAAGAATCCCTAATTCCTGACCCTAACCCTAAACCCTAAACCCTAAACCCTAAACCCAAAACCCAAACCCTAGTCCCTTACCCTAAGCCCTAAAAGCAGAGAGAAAGGGAACTTGGACCCTCCAGCTACTGAGCACGCCAGACCTGGCCAACCCAAAGCCCTGAACCTGCAAAGGTTGAGGGTTATTGGTTGGTTTAGGGTTTAGGGTTTGTTTAGGGTTCAGGGTTTAGGTTTGTACAGGGTTTAGGGTTTTGGGTTTAGGATTTAGGGTTTAGGGCTTCAGGGTCTGGGGTTCCGGCATAAGGCCTAAGACAAAAAAGCTGTGAGCTTGAGGCACCAGCCTTAGCCTGTAGTTCAGCAATCATGGCATCCTTCTCCTGGGCCGCGTGGAAGGGACTAGGGCGGCTAGAGCCTAGGGTTTAGGGTTTAGGGTTTAGGGTTTAGGGTTTAGGGTTTAGGGTTTAGGGTTTAGGGTTTAGGGTTTAGGGTTTAGGGTTTAGGGTTTAGGGTTACCCAACCAAGCGCCAGAATGCTGAGCAGCTCCAGCTGGTGCGTAAGGCCCTTTGAGGAGTCCACAAGGTCTGGGGACTACTGGATGGACCGCAAAAAGGAGGGCTCAGGTTTAGGGTTTAGGGTTTAGGGTTTAGGGTTCAGGGTTTAGGGTTTAGGGTTTAGGGTTTAGGGTTTAGGGTTTAGGGTTTAGGGTTTAGGGTTTAGGGCTTAGGGCTTAGGGCTTACGTAGGGTTTAGGGGGTACAGAAAGCCGACCTTGAGTGCAACTTATGCAGACTTATCTTAGCAATAAGAACTTGTTTCGCAAACTGTGGGTGTATGAAATAAACTTAATACACAAATTATTATTATTATTATTATATATATATGTATATGTATTTATCTATTTATATCCATTTACTTATTTGTTAATGACTAGGGCGTTTTCCCAGTAAACCCTAAAACCAAAACCCTAAGCCTTAAATCCTCCACCCTAAACTAAGCCAAATCTCCCAAAGCCCCTAAACACCCTCAAAACCCTCCCAAAAATGTCCTGCAGCCTCCCTAAACCCTCAACCCTCAACCCTCAACCCTAAACCCTAAACCCTAAACCCCCCCCGCCAGTCCCCCTGTGCCTCCACCTTGCGCGACTCCTCCTCGAGCTGGCGCCTCTTCGAGTGTTTTTTTGAGTTTACTATAAGGGCCTTCAAAATTCGAACAGGGTTTAGGGTTTAGGCTTTAGGCTTAGGGTTTAGGGCTACTATAGGGGACTTAATAATTAGAACATTATTATTATTTTTTTTTTGGGGGGGGGGGGCAATTGTAGTAAAATTATCTTGGGGCCATAAGGGACCACTAGTAGTAATTATTCCGACCCCTATGTTACTTGTCTCTCGTAGTTTATGGGGCTTCGAGGCAAGGCTCGGTTTGCAGCATAGGGTTTAGGGTTCAGGGTTTAGGCGTTAGTGTTTAGGGTTTAGGGTCTAGGGTCTAGGGTTTAGGGTTTACAAGGCGCCTACTGGGGTCGTCAACTAACACAAGACTTGCGGTGTTTAGGGTTTAGGGGGCTTTCGGTTTAGAGTGAGGTGTAGGAGTTTTGGGGTTAAGTGTTAAAGCTGTTGGAGTTGTGGGGTTTGGGGGTTTCAGTGGCTTGAAAGCTGAAAGCTCTTGGAGGGTGAGAAACATAGTCTAAGCCCGACACCGTAAACCCTCTTGCCTCAACCCCAAACCCGAAAGCCCAACCCCAAACCCCGCTTTATCGGCTTCAGGATGTTAGGCTTCAGCTGCTGGTAAACCCTAAACCCTAAGCCCTAAACCCTAAACCCTAAACCCTAAACCCTAAACCCTAAATCCTAATTAAACCCTAAACCCTAAACCCTAAACCTTTAAAGAGCGCAATGAACCGAGGCCTCGGGCTGCAGGTGTCTGGATGGCATATGTTAACCCCACCCCCCCACATCCCCCACCCCAAAGGATCCATGTACCTATATAGTATATACTTGGGCCTTCATGGGGTTCCTATATAGTAGCTTTAGGGCCCAAGTATACTCTATATAAGTACATGGATCCTTAGGGCACCCCGCCCCCCCCACCCCCCTCCACACTTGGCCCTTCAACACCCTCCTCCTCTACCGGGATTTCCCAGCCGGCTTGTTCTTCTCGTTTTACTACTACCACGTTTGGGGGGTCTTGCTTTATTTGCCACGCCCACAGGTCTATGCATGAGTCTGCGTGATACACCCGCGATCTCCAGTTTGGGTTGCCTCGCCACTGGGGCAGGCCCCGGCCGAGGCGGGTCGCGTTCAGGCCCAAAAACTGAGGTACAGGTTCCCTTTCGTGCCGCTTTTGTTGCCGGCCCCAACTGTGCCGGGTCCTGCGAGGACCACTCGAGCAACACGGTGCCTTCTCCTTCACTCGGCCTCCTTGGCAAGGAGCACTCAATGCGGTGCGCCAGGCTCCTGCGGCCAAAGGTCGCTTGAAACTTTCTGTGAAGCTCGCCGTAGCCCTGCGCGCACGGAGGCCGGGCCGTAGCTGTCAGTATCTTTGGTGGCAGGGCCGCATCACCCAGCCTCTTGCTCAGAGGCTTTGGCAGCCGGTGACAATTGCCTAGGATGGTCCCTTCAAAAACCCTCTGATATTTTCCTGAAGATGATCCTCAAAATCCCAATAATATAAGGAAAACATACAAGATGTCCCAAAAAACCTACCTAGTTGCTGGGCCGGTGGTTCAACCAGATGTTCACGAGGAAGGTCACGCGCTGGCCCCCGGTGCTGTCCTCCTCTGGAGCCTATACTCCCCTTAGAACCTTAATAAGAGTAAAGTTTCTTAATCGCCTCTTGGGTTTTATCTAAGCAAAAAAGAATAATGCAAATAGTATTCTTAATATCCTCTTGGGTTGTATATAAACAAAAACAAAAAAAATCCCAAGGGGGATATAGGAGCCGTGCCGTGCAGGAACTGGCCATCAAAAACAAGGTGCTTCCAGAGCTGTGGCCAGCTGAGAGCACCCTGATGTATGTGTCCATAGGTCGATGATATCCTAAGATGGCCCTGAAAGACCTCTGAAAAAATATTCCTGAACATGATCCTCTTAAACCCAATAAGGGAAAACAAGAAATGTCCAAAGGGCCTACCTAGTATCTGGCTGGGCCGTCGCGAGTTGCGGCAGGCCAGAACCAGTGTCGGCGCGCCCGAGTCTGACAGATAGGTTACGGTGCTCAAGTGCGGGTGGACGTTGACGTTGTGCCGCTCCACCGCAACCTCGTCGGTATCCCAGTGGAATTGGATGCCCTCCTCATGATGTCCGCTCTGGCGGACTTGCGACCACCACTCAGCACCAGACCGGGCCTATACTCCCCTTAGAACCTTAATAAAAATATGATCTTTAGTACCCTCTTGGGTTTTATATATTTTATAGAACCGTAGTGAAAATATGATCTTTAATACCCTCTTGGGTTTTATATAAACAAAAACAAAAAATACTTCCCAAGGGGGATATAGGGGCTGCGTCGAATGTGCAGCCTGCGGTGTGGTGGTTGAAGATGGCCATGGCCAGGCGCTCTGCAAAGCAGCGCGGGGCCTCGTTGCACGGCATCCACGACGAGCCATCCAAGGCAAAGACCATGCGGCAGGTCTTGAGCATCCTGTCCTTGGTAGTAACCATAGCACAACAAGGGTACCCCTTTTGCAGAACCCCAACAGAAAAGGGGTAAAGGGTACCACTGGGCGACCAAGTGTCTAGCTCGCCACCAAGGTGCTGTATAAGGCATGTCCTTTTGTGAATCTGAACTTGGAACCATAGCAAGAATTATCATTTTAGCTGTTTCTTAGGAATTCAAGTATATACCCAAAAACAACAATAATTTCCAGAAATAGTAACTTTAGCTGTTTCTTAGGAATGCAAGTACCCCAAAATTAAAAATGATTTCCAAGCATTCCTAAGCGTCCGGGTCTCGAAGGACATGTCGCCTGCCGATGCTGTCCGGGCCTCCGCGTTGAGCCTTAGTTGCTGAGTTCATAAGCCCCAAAAAAGTGTACACTTTCAGTTCACTATAGGGGGTTATAGTATCCCAAAAAAAGTGTAAAGTGTACTCACTCACTCAGCTACTAAGGAGCTGAGGCATCTGCCAAGTCTGGTCCTCCACATCCTCCTCGCGACTCAGGTCCTCGGTTGGCTTTTTGGAATATCTATATCTATCTACCTATCTATCTATCTATGTATCCATCGATCTATCTATACATATATATATATATATATATGTGTATGTGTGCGCAGGAATATTTGTATATATACACATGTATATTCACATACCACAAATTTCAATATTGTATGGTGTAGCATACGACATATAGAGGGACATGCCACAGATAACGTAAACGATATTCCTGCAGAACCCTGAGGCCCTGAGGGTGCACGTAGTATGTATCATCTTATCATCTTGCTAGTTGAGGAATTTGGGCACTTCCCAGAAGTAGGGGGTACGTAACCCTAACATACCCCCAAATTCTATAAGGACACCCCACCCAAAAAAAAAAAAAAATCGGAACCCCCCCCCCCCCATTTAGGTACCCTATCTAGCATGGCCGGCGGGGCACCATTCCCCTCCATAATGCTTCTAGAAGTGGACCCTATGGGAAGCACGATTGTTACACAAGATCCACGAGAAAAAAAGCGATGCTCTTTCGACTAGACCCAAGAGTAACCTAGGAACAAAAGAGAGTACCCTTATAAGGGTGAACCTGAACCCCAAAAATCAAGGGAAAAAGGGCCTACTCTGAGTCTGATTCCTGGTAGCCCTAAACCCTAAACCCGAAATCCTAAAAAAATAGCAAGGGCCTATTACTTCGAATGTCTTTGCCAGGGTCCTTCTGCAAAAGCTCCAAAAGCTTCCTCCGCTTCTCTGCCTCTGGAAGACCTTGCAGGGCCACGAGGGCCGCAGCATTCCTGGGTTGCCCAGCAAACCCTACCTGGAGTAACCTTTTACACCCGCTAGTAGGAATCTATGTTCACAAGGGAATTGTTACCCACAATTCTTTAGGGTTTAGGGTTTAGGGTTTTAGGTTCCTGGGTAAGTATATTCTCTGCTTTTGAAGGAATAAGGTTGCTCTAGGTCAAACCCTAAACCACTTCTATGTATGTCTTCAATGAGACTCAGATAGCGGGATCTCATCTAGCACACAAAACAGACCGGAACAAAAAATGAGGCCTCCACTGGACCCCTAAGCCCTAAACCCTAAACCCTAAACCCTAAACCCTAGAACCCTAAACCCTAAACCCTAAACCCTAAACCCTAAACCCTAAACCCTAAACCCTAAACCCTATAAACCCTAAACCCTAAACCCTAAACCCTAAACCCTAAGCTCCACTGGGCATCGCAAGCTGCGGAGGGCCACGAGGAGGTCCCACGGCGCCTTTTATAAGGTCCTTAAGGGGGTGTAGGGTTTAGGGTTTAGGGTTTAGGGTTTAGGGTTTAGGGTTTAGGGTTTAGGGTTTAGGGTTTAGGGTTTAGGGTTTAGGGTTTAGGGTTTAGGGGTTCTTAAGAGAAGGGGGGGGGGGGGGTTCGTGGGGGTACCTAGGGTACCCTTATGGACCCTATAGTACTACTACCCTACACCCTACACCCTACACCCTACACCCTACACCCTAAACCCGAAACCCTAAACCCTAAACCCTAAACCAACCCTAGCAGCCTTTTTGCCGACACTTCCGGGCACGCAGCTTCCAGCGGCGCTGCAGTCTGCGCCGGCGCAGAGGAGGACACTTCATGGCAATCTACAGGAGTAAACCCCTAAACCCTAAACCCTAAACCCTAAACCCTAAACTACTATCCGCTCAAAGAGAATCATCCCTATATCACCCTTATATTAATAAGACATTTGTAAGTTTTTGTTGAGTTTCTTACGCAAATAGTTGTCATGGCAATCTAGGGGAGTGAAGGAACCCTCACAGGGTTTGTGGTCTACATGCCTGAGTTGGGGATTGCCCCCTAAACCCTAAACCCTGAACCCTAAACCCTACTGAGTTGGGGATTGTCATAGTAGAGGGTATGTGCTCGCTCCCAAGTCCGGGGTTCGTTTTATCCACCAGTTGGCCCTGCTTCTGGCTGCTGGCCGGCAGGTGATCGTGAACGTGGACCTCCAGATCCCTAAGCCCTTAGCCCTAAACCCGAAGCCCTAAACCCTGTACAAATCCCTTCTCTTGGATCCTGAATCGCCAGCCCTAAGTCAGGACTTCAGAATCCTCCAAAACCCTGCAGACCTAAGCCTCGTACTTCCCCCCCCCCCCCCCCCCCCTCAACCCCAAAACAACAAAAAAACGTAAACCCAAAACTCTGAATCCTCAGCCCTGAGCCCTTTAACCCCTGAACCCCCTAAGCCCTATAAGCCCTAAGCCCTAAGCCCTAAGCCCTAAACCCTAAACCCTAAACCCAAAACCCAAAACCCTAAACCCTAAACCCGACTTGAACCCCACGCTGCTGACTGGCGCCTTGCCATCTCGATCTGCGATGTGATCGAGGCCTCCGGGATTGGAGCTTAGGGTTGTTGTGGGGTTTAGGGTTTAGGGTTTTAGGGTTTAGGGTTTAGGGTTTAGGGTTTAGGGTTTAGGGTGGTATAGAAGTGATGGCAGCATGCTGTAGGGTTTTCATACCTCGACCCCCCAGGTGTAGTTCCTGGCATGGGGGGTCGCATGGGGGTATCTAGTCTAGCTTTACGGTTATCAGGCACCCATTGGGCTGTCATTTACCCTAAACCCTAAACCCTAAACCCTAAACCCTAAACCCTAAACCCTAAACCCTAAACCCTAAACCCTAAACCCTAAACCCTAAACCCTAAACCCTAAACCCTAACCCTAAACCCTAAACCCTATGGGGGCTTGGCTTCTGATAGTTCGCCTTGAAGGCACGAGTCGGCACGAGGCTTCCATATGAGGTACGGCGCTCTGATTGCTAGCATTCGTAGAACAACTCCCCGTGTATTTGTAAGGAGCTCTATATACACTCAGCAAAACCCTTAACTTGGACCCTACTTCATATACGCAGAGCCCAGCCGCAACTGGAGCTGTATGTGTCCCACTTGCTCACGGGCCATGTGAAACAGAAAAGGCCTTCTCGCGCTGAGTAGCCTCGTGTGCTTCGCGAGCAAGCTGTAGTTCGCCAGTGGACTGCGGATCGCGCAAGAGAGGTTGTTCGGGGTTTAGGGTTTCGGGTTTATCAGGGCTGAAAGTATCTGTTTGCTTGCTATTCTTCTTCTTATTCTGATTTATTTCTACTATTATTACTATGATCATGGTCGTTAGAAAGCAAGTCCTGACATGAGAAGTTGTAAGATTGGGCCTTGCTTCGTGCGTCCAACCCACCGGCCCCAGCTTCTCGCCAAACCCCCGCTGGGTCGATGCAAAAAGTAGAACCCTAAACCCTAAACCCTAGTACCCTATACTACCATTGGTTCATGGAACCCTTAAGGGGATCTACCCTCTACTACTCTTGGGTCACACAAGTCTGTTTTTTTTCGCAGGACGCAGATTGTTGGACCAGGAAGGCTCCCCCGGGTTTGCCCTGAAGGGTTTAAGGTTAAGGGTTTAGGGTTAGGGTTAAGGGTCCAGGGTTTAGGGACCCGACAAAGGTAAACACGCATCATTTCCCAAAAGAGCCAACAATATGTACTATCTGTACTATCCTAAGGTCCTACCTGCCTATAAACCCTAACACCCCGAAACCCGGAAACCCTTAAACCCTAAAACCCTGAAACCCTAAAACCATCAAAAGCCTAAACCCTAAAACCTGGAGTTTAGGCCTTTAGGGTTTTAGGGTTTTAGGATAGGGTTTAAGGTTTAGGGTTTAGGGTTTAGGGTTTGGGGGTTTAGGGGGTTTAGAGGTTTAGAGGTTCAGGGGTTTAGGGGTTTAGAGGTTTAGGGTTTGAGGTGTAGGGTTTAGGCTTTTAGGGATTAGGGTCTTAGGTTTTTGGGGGTTGGGGTATATGAGCTTTATAGGGTTTCAGACCGAAGACCCTGAACCCTAGAAGCCTGAAACAATACCTGAGGGCTCCCTAAACCCTAAACCCTAAACGCTAAACCCTCCCTAAACCCTAAAACCTAGTTGTCGGGGCGGGCCCGGGGGGCGACAATCTTGCTCTGTGATGCTGCACGGCTTCCTTGCGATCGGCAAGAGACCGCCGCAGTAGGGCAGGCGGACTGGACACCATATCGGCCCGATATACATGGACTCTTCAAGAGGGACCCGACTTGCCCAAGAGACGGCCACACGGATGACGTACTAAGCCCTAAACCCCAATCCAGCCAAACTCTAAAACCCCGGACGCTGGATGGAGCTGTGACCTCGGACGTCGAACCGCCATTTCGCGGTGGGTGCTTGCCGCATCCGCCCCTGGGCCCCTCTCAGGCGCCATCATGATCCTTAAGAACCCAAAATCATTTTTTTGTAGGTTCTGTTTATATCGCCCGCTTTTGGATTCTTAGGTAACCTACAAAACAAGGCAGGTTTGTGGGTTCTCCAGGAAACTGTCCACTGTCTACGTGGCTTGCTGCAGGTGCGCCCCGCGGCACGCTGGGGGTGCCAGCTCACGGCGGGACGGCGGCGGCAAAACGCAGTGCTGGCCCTTTTTTGGGTTACAGATAGGTGATTAGTGAAAGTATACTCCCTAAACAAAACCCTAAACCCTAAACCCTATTTAAACCCTAAACCCTTAACCCTTAACCCTAAACCCTATCCTCCGAACAACAAAAGGCACCCTACACGGGAGGCTTTAGTCAAGCCCTCTGAGAATGTAGATGTGCCAGATCCAGCGCATCTTTTTTCCAGTGTAGGTTTGGGCATCCAGGCGTTTTGTCGCTTCCTGGTCCGAGTTCGTGCGCTCAACTGCGTGAGACCCCAGGATAAATCCAGGACTTTTTCCACGTCCACAAGTGCAGTGCAAGTTTCTGGAAGGTGGGTTTGCAGGAATGCGCCTGAAAAGGCCCTCCTCTCTGCACTGCACAATGCGGGGCGGATATTCAACAAAAATGAAGAGGAAGGCAAGTAAGATATAAAACCCTAAACCCTAAACCCTAAACCCAACTCCAAAGGCACCAGGGTTGGGACGAGACCATGCTCACAGCATTGGTGGCAAGGTACGTATGAGAAGTTCCCCAGAGCCCTAGAGGCGGTTTAGGGTTTAGGGTTTAGGGTTTGGGGTTTCGGGTTTACCTAGAGGCCTCAGACAAACATGCTCGTGATCCCTGATGTGCTTCCTCTACTATATACTTAAGAAGCCTACTTCCTGATTAGGCAATATAGGGACTCTCTTATCAGGCTTTTTTTTGGGGGGGATTGTTAAGCAAATAGCAGTTCCAGACGATACGACATCACGACAACCTCTTCATCCCGACCATGTGCAGCTTCCGCTGCGTGGTCCTTGCTACATGACGGGGAGATCTCTCCCCGCGGGGGTAGGTTTCCTATGAAGATTTGACTTTCATGGCTTATGAGGATTTTACAGAGAATTCAGTCTAATAAAACCCTAAACTCTATAAACCTTAAACCCTAAACCCAAAGCCCTGTTCAAACCTACCCCTGCCCTGCATACTTCTGGCCCATGCCCAGAAGACTCGTTCTCCTTCGGCGGTTGCGTACCTGGCGCACGCCTCCGCGAAGAGAACTGAAACAAGGGTGTAGGGTTTAGGGGTTATAGGGTCTTGGGTTTAGGCTTAGGGTTTAGGGTTTATAGGGTTTATAGGGTTTATAGGGCTTATAGGGTTGATAGGGTTTATAGGGTTTATGGGGTTTAGGGTGTTTAGGGTTTAGGGCTTGGGGTTCAGGGTTCAGGGTTTAAGTTTAGGGAACTAGCGCGCGAAGCATCGAGCCAGCCGCGCCGTGGGAGCCACGCCAAGTTTATCGTATCGGGCTTGCCGGGAGTACCTCGCAACCCTTATACCCTTAAACAAAAAAGTGAAGTGTACCTTGTATTGGTATACTACTATTTGCTTCAAAAACCCGCCGTAACAGAACAAATCCCCATATAAACCTTGTAAAGAAGAATACTTGTGCTTTTTGGAGGGGCTCTTGGGCAAATAGTAGGCGATGCACAACCCTAAGACCAAAAAACGAAACTTTAAAAGGTATCATTGTTTTAAGGTGCAAGGTTACGACAGGCTGGATTTATGGATCTCCCCTCCCCATCACCGTCCACCCCTACATAACAGCCCGGGGCACCCGAAGGAAGCGGTTTAGGGTTTAGGGGTTGAGGGTTTAGGGGTGAGGGTTGAGGGTTGCATGTCGTGGCTTACGAAGCGGTGTCAGCACACTGCAATGTTGCTGCTACTTGGTGGCCGCTAGCGAACTACGAGAAGTTTCCATACAATTAGGGCCAACACCCTAAATCGTACGAAAAAAACACCAGAAACCCAAAACTTTTAGAATAGTGCGGTGCAAGGGTTCAGATACGCGGGTTCTTAGGATGCTTCGGGAGGCTTAGGGAGTAGTGGGGACTCGGGGATGGCTTGGGTTACATACCCCCTTTGAACCCCCCCCCCCTCCCTGAAGAACCTTACAAACATGTCTGGGGCTCTTCCAATTCTGGGGGCACATCGACTGGGACACCGCCCAACCCGGCAATCCTCCTATGTAGGGCAGACCCTACCCAAAGGCTCCTGTGTAGTAGGGCAGTTTACTAGAATCCCTAAACCCTAAGCCCTAAACCCGAAACCCTAAACCCCAAGAATCCCGTTCAACCAACCCAACACTTGGACCTACATCCGAGCCTTCAGGTAAGCCATAAACGTAGACCCAGTCAGTCTGTCGTTCCTCTTTCTTGCTGTGGGGGGGAGGCAAAGGGGGTGTGGGGGTGGTAAAGGGTTGCCGTGTTTATGGCCAGTAGAAAAAAAAGCTTTTAAAACATGGGTATCAAAAAAGAACAACAAAATATGGGCTTTCGGCTGTGGCAACTTTACTTAAGTCCCTTTGCCAGTACAAGCACAAGCAAATCAGTGGAGGCGATCGTCCACACGGGCGGCGATAGCTCGACGTCGTGTTTTCTTCGTGCTACTGGAAGGACCTGGCTCTTGGACTCACTCAAACTCATTGAGAAAGAAAATGGCGATGACGCCGCCAAGGACCTCCAGAGAGTTTGTTTTGGGAGCTGGCTTGTTCCTAGAGCAACCTTGTACAAAGGACAGGGGTTTCGGGTTAGGGTTTAGGGTTTAGGGTTCTGAGGTTTATAAACCTCCCTCTCCCTCTCTCTCCCTCTATATATGAATATGAATATAAATAACTGTCTATATGAATTCATATGTATATGCTCTTCTTTGTTTAACTACTTTCTTTCCCTAAACCCTAAACCCTAAACCCTAAGCCCTAAACCCTAAACCCTAAACCCTAAACCCTAAACCCTAAACCCTAAACCCTTGTGTTAACTACCTGTTTGATAGGGCGCATGCGGTTCAGGCTCCTAGGGCTTTGGGACTCTGAGGTCTGGTCGGCCCTAGCCCTCCCACAAATCGCTGAGGGACTGTCTACCGTTCTGAGGTGGGTTTAGGGTTTAGGGTTTAGGGTTTAGGGTTTAGGGTTTAGGGTTTAGGGTTTAGGGTTTAGGGCTTAGGGTTTAGGGCTTAGTGAGGGTTCAGGGGTTGTTTAGGGTACCTCATGAACGTAACCCCTGGAAACCCTGGCTAAGGAACCCAGTACTCCAATTACAGCAGCCTAAACCACTACCACTAACTACCAGCATCATCCCTGACAATCCCTGTGAACCTGTACTCTCAAAAACCCAAATACCCATTAAACATAGGCCCCTACCCCTAAACCCTAAACCCTAAACCCTAAACCCTAAACCCTCAACCCTCAACCCTCAACCCTCAACCCTAAACCCTAAACCCTAAACCCTACACCCTAAACCCTGAACTGCATGGCTGCTGTCCGAAGAGCAAGCTCCAGCACGACCACAAAGGCTGTGGGAGGGAAGACAAGCCATGAAAGCCTCTGCAGGCACCAGTCGGGATGTTCCCTTTTAGGGTATAGGGTTTAGGGTTTAGGGTTTAGGGTTTAGGGTCCTTAACAGAGATTTCAGGGACAATACTCCCTGCTAAGGACTGTTTGGTTAAGGGGGAGCATACCAAGGCGCCACAATCCAGGGACCAAGACCCTGAACCGCAAGCCCTGAAACCACAAA